CCCCAAAACCCCAAAACCCCGCTTAATAGGAATTTAATAATTTGCAGTTTATGATTTATTCGGTATATAAAGTATATTTCATATTTTAAGTTAAAATGAGAAATAACTTTGATCAGTTGCCAGATGAATCAATAGGTTACGATATGTCTAATTTAAATGAGTCTCATGATGCAGTAGAAACCTTAGAATAAAACAACATACCTAGCAGCATAAGTCCAAATGTTCTTGAAGATGATCAAATTATTCATGAGGTCACTGAGGATTATGAGGTTTTGAATGAGCCCTCAGCTAATGAAGAAGAGGACTATGAGATTAATGGACATGACTATCTAATTTAGTAAAGAAATGATAACATTAATTTCTTGATAAATATGGAGCAAAACTCTATTAATAGGTAAGATAAAATTTTAATTGATCCTGTTTAGAAATCGTAAAATATCAGAGATAGCTGGACTTATAAATCAAGAACATAAGTATTTGCAGAAAAATGCGTTGAATAGCAAATAGCGCATGCCATTTATATTTTGTTAAGAAAAAATGTTTAAGCTAGTGAATAATATGAGAGATAATATCTAAGTTAAAGACTCTTAGAGGTCTATTATGACTTAGAACCAGTAACTTAATAGCAGAAGAGGAAAATCTCAAAATAATCTACAGCAAAATAATAGGTATTAGAAGCCAGGTGTGGGAGTAAAGAATCAATTAAACAATAAGAAGAATAGTATCAATTCTAAATAAAATATTCAGAATATGATTACAAGACAAAGCACAGAGGCTTCAAGTTCTGTTATCTCTGACACTATTTAAGGCCTAGAAAGTAGGACCAATTTTGTTTGTTAAAATTAATGCAATACTCATGGAATCCAAATAAAAAAATATTTGAACAAGTAAAATCCATTTAAGTTTTTACTAATTTTAGCTGGCAGACTAAGAATGCATCACTTCTGTATGATTGGCACAAGGATGTGAATAAGAATATCTAATTTGGGAGATAGAAATGCAAAGAATGCGATAGATATAAATGCATTCATTAAGCAATATCCTCTAGACCTATTACAGCAGTAGCAGAGGATAGCTTCACATCAAATAAATATTCTAATAAAATGAGACCATACACTTAATCTTCTATAAGATCTAAGCATAACAGAGCTATTTCTAATGAAAATACTGACTTCGATCCTTATTCTATGAATGATCCATCAACTATCTACAATGATTTTTCTACTTAGCCTCTAGGCACAAATAACGTTCTCAGTAAATCTCTTAATAATCTGAATAATAATTATTCAACCTTGAATCGCAAACTTTCAAGACCATCAACTACTAACTCGTATTAAATCCATAGTAGCAGACCTGGGACATCAAATAACCATATAAAATAGAATGTGAGACAGTAATAAAATAACTGGATTTCACCCTTCGAGAGATTAAAAAACCCTCATTTTCCCTATGAGTAAAATTTAAATTAAAGATAAAGAGCTAATACCCAAAAAGTGAATTATACATTAGGGACTTCAATATATGTACCGTTGGAAGAAGTATCTAAATATCTAACATAACAAGAAATTTAGGATATTAAGTTATCTGCATAAATTTAAGAATATTAGTATCAGGTTCACAGTCCTGATAGAGCAACTAATCATAATCTTACTATAGAAGATTAGATAGATAGAAGGAATTTAACCCTAAAGAAGGATTCAGTTATATCGTAAAATGTGGGAAGAAGTCCAATGAATGAATCCTCTTATATGGAGGCTTATAGTCCCTATATATAGAATAGAATCGAAGTGCTAATAAATAATTAAAATGGATCAGTTAATTAGTCTCAAATGCAAAACTACTAATCAGAGGTTAAAAATAATGATTAGTTTTAGCTAGAAATAAAGTAGTAGGAATTTGACCTGAATGTTGAAAATTTGGAACATGAAGAATATGAGGCTTAGAGTTAAGGGATTCAAACCAAAAACTCTAGAAAGTACTTAAATCAGAGACAATACTTTTAAGGTAGCTTAAGACCCTTAACTACTGCAAAAGTCAACATAGTTTAGATTGAAGCACCATATAATTCTATATACAATAAAAATCACAGAAAGAGATTTATGAAGATGATTGAAAACTCTATGAATAAATAAGTAGAGTAAGAAAAATACTATACTAAGCTTAATTCAAACTATCAAAGGATCTTGAAAAATGCTGTTATCAATCTTTGAATTAAATTAGTAAATATAGATAGTGATACAGGATTTATTAAAAATTATCAAGACTATTATATATTAATTTCATTAATTGCCTTCACCTTCTCCTTCTCCCATTAATTTATTAGTGCACTCTCTCAATACTATGATCTCATTCTAAGCCTTAGTGTATTCCCATCCTCCAAATATCAACAAGTGAGGACCAATAGCGGTACTAGTATGTCCAAATCTGCTGGTAGGTGGGTTTCCAATGTATTAGCCTCTCTTCCAAGACATTGTATCAGTGGACCAAATCATGAAATAGTCGCAACTTTCCTCAGTTGGTTCATGCTTAAATCTAGCTCCTGATGTTTTAGTCCATCCACCATATAAGATAATATCTGAACCTGAAACATCCATAGTATGTCCGAATCTATGTTCAGGTGGACTGCCACTAACTCTTAAACGAGACCAAATAAAGGATTCAGTGTCAAGAACTCTGATATCGTTTAGATAGCACTCTTAGAGTGAAGATCCCATCTTTCCAAGACCGTTCTTTTTCATTCTCTCATCACTAAAGAAGAATCCTCCATGCACAACAAGATTAGTTCCAATCAATATTGAGCAGTGACCTTTTCTAGGGGATGGAGCAGGTCCAGTGCAATTAGGCTTTGACCAAGCCATAATTTCAAGGTCAAGCACATACACATCATTGAAAAAGTCGTTTCCGTTCCAACCTCCGAAGATGAACATCTTAGTTCCACTAACTAAATTAGCAGTGTGATCAAATCTTGCTGAGGGTGCACCACCTCCCTCTGGGCCTTAATACCATGTCATTGTGACTGGATCAAGAGCATGTAAATCTCTATAGACAGCACCTTTGGGTCCTTTACCTCCAAAAATAATTATTCTTGAACCAGCTAATACAGCTGAATGACCATATCTTGAAGGAGGTGGAGTTCCTGAAATCTTTGGTTTAATCCATCTTGATGAGTTCACATCTAACACATGTGTGTCATTTAAATATTAAAATCCAGTATCCTATCCAACATAATAATGTCCCTAAAAGAATATCGATAAATAACTTTTATTTTACACCGAAGATAACCAGAGAGGCTCCTGTTAAAGTAGCTGAATGCCCTCCTCTTGGAGTTGGTGGCACTCCTTCAATTTATGGAAAGGCCCACAACCACTTTCTCTCAACTAGATTTGTTGTTTCTTAATAATTTGAAACTTACTTTCTTGATTCTGATCTTAAACTTAATCTTGCTATGGATCTTCCTGCCCTCCGCTTGCAAGGTTTTATTTTTGTAGAGTTTCAATAATTTAAGGATTTGATAGATCAGAAAATTGAGGATGGACGTTACTTCTTCCTCCGATATTGCTATAAGTTTCCATTATATTTAAAATATTTTATTTTCTTAATTTCAAATAATTCTTATACTACTCTGTCGGGGTTTTGGGGTTTTGGGGTTTTGGGGTTTTGGGGTTTTGGGGTTTTG